TGTGGACTTAGACTCTTTCTTGTTTTCTAATGTTCTAACGACCCTTCATTGGCGAAGTGGAAATTTTGTTGTCTAACTGATATCATAAGACGGTCATTATAATTAAATACAGGTTCCATAAATTCTACAAATAAATAAACTAGCCCAGAATATTATTAGGACAGTGCTCCTTATTATTAACGTCAATTCCTCGAGTTCCCCCGACCGATTGTTTAATTGGCAGTGAATATTCGCGTTTTGTCCGAAATCTAATGGAGGCATAATAATCGCGGTCCCGCGGACCGCTCGAGTCAACCCTTGCGATGCGACGACAACGTCGCGTCCCCCTCTCGAGGGGGAGATGGCGCGGGGGATTCTTTTCGTTCGTCCACTACAAGCATCGGAACGGCGTCGTTATTGTATGGAACGAGGCGTCCTCGTTATCGTCGCTTATCGCTAATAAGATCGCTGGACCGCTCGTTATCGTCGTCGTCGCACTCGCCCTGTCCTCATTTTCGTACGATTGCGATCGTTAATTATCCCTATCGCAGCTGATCGTCCTCTCTCTCTATCTTCGCCCCAGTCATCCTCATCCCTCTTCTCTTCACTGACTATCTCTCTCTCTCTCTCTATCTCTCTCTTTCTCTCCCTCTCTCTTCCGTTTCCCCCGACGTCGAAACGCGTTCTCCTCCCGACCACCTTTCTCTCCTCCGTCGCTGTCGCCGTTGTTGCCGTCGTTCTCCTCGTCATTATCATTCCGGTAATTACTGGTATATTCCCTCGTTATCATCTTGTTATCGGCAGGTCGTTGTGCCTCCGTGGCTGATCAAATTTCGATCTGCCCCTCGGGTCAGAGAACGAACTTCTTGCGATTTTCGTCAAGAATCAGGGATACAGTTGCAATTCGATAGTCGAATTCAACGTTGGCAGACACACTGTGTAACAAGATAATTTCGTACGACCATCCTATCCTCGAAAAAGTATTCGAACAGCTTGAATTATATAGGTTGGGATGTTCGGTTGAAACTGGGAACGAAGCACGCCCTGGAATTTTAGGAACATGGTTTTCGATCAGCCTCGAATTCCACCTAATACGCACTTGGATTCCAGGTTTAAGTATAGAGGCATCGGAACCAAATGAATATTCTGCCGTCGGCGGTTACGGCGTAATTTGAGTGCACGAGAGACACGTGATAGTTCGAAAGATACTTGGTAAAAAAAATACATTTTCGGCAGAGGAAAGTCCATGCGTTCAACGATTCCTAGTTTCGGCAGTGGAAAAAACTGAGTCCGGTTATTTTTAGTTTGAAGAAGTTATTAGTCACGTGAGGCACCGGCGTTGTTAATCAGCTGACAATGAGTCCGTGTAACGAGCCAGGCCAGCGTGGGATAAGTCACGTTTAAATATAATACGGCGAATCAGATTCATTAAGGTATTTTAAAAGCCGGTACACCATTTCTAAAAATAGACCGCGAGTCAACATGTGGGTCTTAAAATCTTTACGGTCTTGGCCAAGAATTCCATTTAGCTGATAGTATATACATATATGTATGTATACGCATCGTGCATTAAATTACACAATATATTATCAAATTAGAACCTAACAAGATTTTTATTCCAAATACATTCAATTGATTCTCGCTAATATAATAAGCTTAGATTATCTAATATTAAAATACTATTTCGTATTATGATTAACAGCAATTTTTATTTGATCAGCATGAGTGGATAACTTCTCACAAATCAATTTGCTTAATAAAAACGATGCAACGTATTGGGATCCGCGTTGTCCTTGAGAGGATTCTAACGAAGGGGGTAAGGCACGAGCGAAGACTCGATTGAACACATTGGCCGGCGAAGACTCCGGCTCGGCGTTGACCTTCCTTAACTGGAACGTAAGTCACCGTCTCGCCTTTATCCGGCCGAATAATCATCGAACGTAATGAACAAACCTCGCAACTAATTGGAACAGATTGAACGGGTACGGATCGTATTGTGTGTGTGCGTTGGCGCTCGCGCGCGAGTTTCTTCTCGCAATTAATAGCGCCGTCACGTTGCACCAATCTGCGTAACGATTGCGCCAGTCGCGTATCTCAATCGTTCTAGCTCTATACCTTTTTAATTAATTACATTTAATACTTTCTCTCAATTGTTTCCCAAGCAACACGAGCGAAGGTATTGAAGTCATCTGGAAACACGTTGCCCGAGGGCTCTCTTTTTTAATCAAGCAATATCAACACGTCATTACGTTAGTTGCAGATTTTGCTCATAATGGTCGCGTTCGATTTCGTCGTTGCATAAAATGCTCGACACATTTGGGGGACGAAACATGCGTGCGAATGAAAGCTCATCGTACAGATGGGTCGATAAACCGGCCGGTAATTAATAATTAACGATTAACAATTAAGAACGAAATTAGCGCGTAACGCTGCGTGGTTTAATTGGATGTAACACGAAGAAAATAAAAGAAGGACGAATGGAAGAAGAAGAAGATAGAAGGGCTGGCAGGTGGTGGGCGACAGGACGCGCATGATTCCTTCGAGGTCTCGCTCTGAATTTAATTTCCTCTCTGGTGTACGGACGTTGCCTGATAAATATTGCGGCTTCACGAGATCCAAAAATATCCATATAATTAAATCCGGTCTTCGACTTTCTCTTCTTACAATAGTCTTTCGAGCGTTTCGTCAAACGTACCTTTCCCAAATGGTTTTCGTTCGACGTTCTACCAACGACTCTTTGTTTTAATAGACGACTGAGGTAATCATTTTCACGCTCTATCCATTATTGGAGTATTTTATCCGCGCTTAACGGGTTGACCACGCTGCTTGGGGATTCAAATTGACAAACTATCGTCCAACCGGAGTCAAAACAAACAAACTCGCCGCGTAACAGGATAAATTGGATATTCAACTTGAAGGATACCTGCGCAGAGCAGTTTCACCTTCGAAAACGGTCGGGACCGAGTACAGCACCGTTATATCCTTAATGCTCGGGGACCTAACTGGTCGAAGCAAGGTGACGCGGAGAAGAAAAGGTACTCGTTACCCGAAGCCCCTGGCTAACAAAAAGACAGAAGTTTTCGGGGGTAGGAGCGGAGCTCGATCGTGTCCCTGAAGCGACACCCGCTGAGCTACCAGGAAGGACGATTATTGTTAATTAAGGTGGGCGTGCCAGGGAGGTCACACGCCGCCCGGTTTCACGGCCCTTAACGAAGGTTCAGGTCAGCTCGTTTTATGAATTCTAAATGCCGACCAACGGTTCACGAAAATTTTACCCAGGGACTTTGCGTTTCACGCTGCGACCGAACTTCCCAAATTACTTTATGCCTAACACTATGCTTAGTTGGAAAAATTACTCAGCTTGCCGGACAAAGAGAACTTGTTAAGGAAGACTGTAGGAAGTCCATATTTTATTTAGTAATTTAAAACATATTGTTATCCGATGCGGGAAAAGGATGAGCGTGTAGTGGAATCATTCGGGATTTGAAAACGAATAGTTTCCTTTGGACGAACACGTATATCACGTGTCGAACCGCTGCCAGGAGGCGTTAACAACGGCGAATTAACGAGATTACAACGCGCGGCGCGAGGAAAACGGGGAAATCTGATTGGATGCCGGAAAAGATCATAAAGGGTAGTAATTAGAGCGAGCTTTGTTCGTCGACGCCGCAGCGGACGCTTCGTTTCCGGTGGCGAGGGCCTCCACACGATGGAAACGACGATCTCTCTCCATCGATTCGTCCGAATCCCTGTTTTCCCGTGCCCCGGATTCGAATTAGCGGCCGGAAAATTAGACCTTTGATGTCGTCACGCCTATGCCGGTAGTAAAAAAATTCGTTGCTCCACGGAAACGTAAATTATCCGCTTCTCCTCTCAATCTTCTGTTAATCAGTTACTGCAAGAAAACAATTTTCTCCAGCTAGGTTACAAAGACGGATCGACAGAGAACCGAGAAAGTTGTTTGATGCGCGTTTGAATTGATCGTTAGAAGTTTTTACGGACTGGGAGCTTTGGAACAGTCCTTAATCGGTCGCCTTAATTACTGGTAAGCTCGATAAACAAATAAATCGTTCGCATCGATCCTCGTAAAATGTTTATTACTGCCAATCGGGCGAGTATCCTCCTCGTCGGTAGTTACGGTAACAATGGAGTACGTCTTTATCGCGCGATTCCGTTGAGTATCGGAGAGGGGAACAAGACGAAAAAGCATCAAAGGAAACAAGTTAGAAGAAAGGAGATGGCTGGCGAACAAGGACGCGTTTACCACCCCCGTTGGACCTGCCTCGATCCCGACCCAAACCCCTGTTGCAATCCGTGGTGCTTTACTGCCGCTGCACCCGGATTGAATTTAAATATTTCTTCGGCGGACGAACTCTTTCGCGAATTGCTCTGTCGTAAATGGTCTCACGTCCCCTACTTTTTCTCCGTTCGCCCGTCTCTTTCCTCGTTTCATCGTCTTGCTACGAGAACTGCTGTTTCATTGCGATCGAGCCTGGGGATGGTTTAAGGCGGGAAAGAAGCGGGGATGGAAGGACATTATGAAATCGTTGCGCGCCGTCTTAAGGGCCAATAAAATTGCGCGGAACTCCGACCGTCGGTGAAATTAATAACAGCACAGCGGCACGGTTTCATCATGAAATGTAATGCGGCGGCGGTCGTCTTTACGACCGAATCGGAAACTATCTTGGCCTAAATATTGTATTTCACTCCTCGCTCCTCTTCTGATTTTTATTCCTCTCTTTACCTGGCTGATCTCCTTATGAAAGAAGTTTCGAAAGCTGTTTGAACTTTCTTTAGCCGATCGAATCTATTCATCGATACTGTCGGTGGCAATCAATTTTAGAGTTAGCGTACATCGTTTCAGTATTATAAACCGATTAAATGATTATATTAATCTGCTGAAATATTTAGAAATCGAGTATTCGATATTTATAAAAGAAGGTCAATAAATGATTCGTTAGTTACTTAAACAAAATGGAATACGTGAAATCCTTAAAAACCAACCCTTTTTCTCGTTTCAGGTGCCATCGGAGAGCCGGTAGACGCGAGCCGGTTCGAGGAGAGCCGGATAAAGCTTCCAGCTTAGGCCACGAGCTTTTGTTTTTCGTCGTGGGAAGCTGTTGGTGGGCTCGAAGGGCCCACCCTCTCATCGGTCAAGCTGGCGAGCGCTCTAACCGCTGGTATGAACCCCCACCATCCGGGCCACTCCGCAGCCTACCCGCATCATCCCTCGCTCTCGAGCAGTCCCCATCATTCCGGGCCCCATCACGGGTACAGCACCGGTGGCGGAGGCGGCGGAGGTGGCGGCGGTGGTACCACGACCACCCCCGACCTGCCGAGTCCCCATTCGCCGCCTCACGGGCCGGCCATCGACCCTGCCACTCCGTATGGGTCCCTGCAACCTGGCCAGGGGATGGGCAGCAATGGGCATCATCACGGTGGTGCTGGAATGATGTCCGATCATCCGCATCACCAAGGACACCCGCACCCACACCTCCCGGGACACCCTGCTTATCCACCGGTCAATCACAACAACAATTGTACGCTTAAGGTAAGCCTGCGATATCTTATCGGGCGTTTAATATCAAATTAGATTTTATGGGAGAGTTCAAAAAACTTCGGAGGTACGAATCGCCAACGGATTAATTTCTCTAATTTTTATCGACTGTTTATTATTCTCATCGAGTAATCATTTTCGATATCATTATACTACTCGTTCACTTTTATTATACCATTCCCGAGCCACTCTGTCCCTTCCCAGATTCTCGATTCCGACGGCTGTTACAAAATGAAACGACGAATCAAATTAAATTAAAATCCCTCGTTAATGAGGCCGTTCGAGTGGCGTCGTTTCACGGAAAGTAGCGAGAGAAAGAGAGATTGAGAGAGAGGAAGAGGCGGCCGATCGAGAAACGTTTCGTATGGCGAAACGGTTCTCCTCGTACGATTAAAATGCACTTTCTACGTTGGCCGGTCGCGCGAGGATGGTCACGAGAAAAAGTTTTCAACCGGAAGCAGCTGTGGAACGCGTACGCGGCTCATTGTTCGCGTAATAACCAGCGTCGACCGTTCATTACGTAAAACCCGTTCTCCTTCGCTGTCTAATTTCCCGCGAATGATAATAACTTGCGCTAATCTCGGTAATGTTAATCGTACGCGACAATTCTGAGATCCATTCGAAACCGTCAACTTATACCGAGCGCCGAGCCCTTATGCTTATTAAATGTATTTTCCCGCACCCCGCACCCGATTGTCATTAATCTCAAAGTCCGTTTATCTCAGCGCTGGCTTAACGTTAAGGTATATAATCGGACAATTTATTCAGAGTAAATCTATACTATCTCAATGATCTTGTCAACAACTTAAAATCCGAAACGGCTTTTCACCCCTGAGGAAATCGGCGTAACGTACAGGTGGTCCGTATAGGTCGACCCCCGGCCTACTCCCGGACGATCTCTCAACGAAGATTGAGAGAACCGCGTCGTCAGGGTCGCAGGCTAAAATTCAGAAGGCATTATCCGTCTATATACGTGACCCTCACTTAGCTCGCCATTGACAAACGTAACAATATAGGCATTTACCATGGAGAAATATAATTGAATAGGGGCGGAGGGGACGCAGCCGAGGAGTCCAGGCTCCCCCTTTTCCCTCGAACGTTCCTCCTCGCACCGCTCCATGCCGCTCCGCGTGTTTCGCTCCATAATACTCGCACGGTCTCAGTCCCACGTTCCCCTACCACCTAGCTCTGTCCTCGTCCGGCCAGGTCGGAACTATAGATGGGTCCCGTCCCCTTTCAACGTTAGTTAGGTCCTTTCTAGGCTCACCTTTTTATTCCCCCCACCAACGGGGTCCGCCGCTCCTGCTGCCCTGCCGAGGTACCTGAACCCGGGGCCTCAGAGGCCCAAAGCAGCCACGGACCAGTCAGTTTGCTGCTGACTTCGGTCGGGACCGGTTCGTCCTTCTATTTCGTGGCGCGTGCTGTACTCTTTCTCTCGTCCTTGTCTCGTGTTGCGTGCTCGCCTGTTTCTTGTTTACACGATCGTTTTCTGCGTCGCGGATATCCGCGGCTAACGATTTTTCAGGTCTCATTTACCTATGAGAGTCTCCATCGCGGGATGCTCCTCTCGACGCGTCGCAACGGATCCAGAAAAGCCTACTGTCGGTTGCCGACGGTAACTCGACTTGGTCGTGCCGCGTTGTAGATCCGAGAACAATTTATCGGAGTTGCTATATGAATCGAGTATTTTGAATGATCCTCGGAGGATCAAGGCCGTCCGTTTGGTGCGTGGTGGTTCGAAACAGGATTTAGTTCAGTGCTGTCTGTGAACCGATCTCTCGAGGACGAATGGTAACGCTGCCCGGGTGAATTCGTGAGAGGGGCCACAGTTTTCGGACACGCGTTTTACTTGTGTAGTTCGTTTCGGCGATCATGGAGGTGCACGCGCATCACTACAGCGCCATCACGTCTCGGATGAACCAGATGAAATGTTATCCCGGGGACAAACTTGTAAGCGCCGTGATAATCTCACGAATGATTACTTTGTTTTGTCGTTCGCGACGCGGTGTATCATGTGCGGTTTGTTTCATAAAATGCACACTGTAAATCACTGTTTTTCCTTGTCATACAGACGTGTGCTGTAGGACAACGGCGAATTAGTAAAATATTGGTTCGTTAAATGTTCGTAACTTCTCGTTGTAAATTCGTTGCACCAGCGACGCCCGAATTTCCCCGAAATTTCGCCGGCAACGTTGATGCGAGGCTCGAGCGAACTGCTCGAACGACTCCACCAGTTTCGATTGCCTTGATTTGTCCCGTTGCTCGGCTGCTTCCCCATCACACAGCCGTTGCGTTAATGGTATCTGCGTGGATCGAACGTTTCGGTATTAGCTGCATCCACCCTCCGAAATATGCATATTCATCAGTCAACCTTCGTGCATCTCCATCGCTCTATCCAGTTGCAACAAGGAAAGACGACGCTCTTCGTGGTTCCTTTTTTGTCGCGAAGACGGCGCTCATTAGTGAACCTCGTTGGGAGGAGACTAATTAAATTTTTCCAACGAGCGAACGATTGCGCAACGAACGTTTCTCTCGTATTTATTTAAAATCTACGTTGCCCCCCCGTCTCTTTCTTCCACTGTTGACAAGATTTCCTTCGATAACTCGGAATCGGAAGAACAAATCCAATTGACGCCGATCAACTATTATGTGCTTATTCCGACCCACGCGCAATTGCGCGAGTTTTCATTTGATTATCGTAACCGGACGGTTGTAATTGCGTGGCAATTGCGAAAGAAGCGTCGCCGGGGTCGGGCAAAAAGCGAGAAAGGGAAACGATTTTCCTCCGTTGTTGGAGCACGGACAACGAGTTCAACGCTAATTCCTCGATAAATTACCGCCATGCCTGTGTGCGGTACGCGTCACTTTCTAAAACTGTGTCTCCATCGGCGTTCTCGAATTACTTTTTCTGTGGCAATCGTTTGTTCGCAAATTGTTCCTGATGCACCCGTAGTTATAAATCCAGCCTCTAGTTTCATGAATATTTGATTCGTTAATCTATTTGCCGTGTGAATTCAAATAACCGATGAACTGGAAATTCACTTGCTTTAAATGAGGCGTATCAATTTTTTAAAACATTATCTCTTCGTGAATATTTTTCTATGCAAAGGAATTAATAAAAATTGAATCCTGCATTATTTATTAATGAATTTAGCCAATACTCTTGGTAATGGGTCTAGTCAAGACACAATTCTTGTTGTATTCTTCACTTTGTATATTTCCTGGCGTTACACTTCTTTCTTTTTTCAATAGATCGAAGATGAGCTACGCGATTATTCGCCAACAAATTCCGCGTTTCCCTCGCGAAAGCTCAGTTCGATTTTCAATTTACGCACGAGCTTTCGGTGTCTCTCGGCCTCTTGGTTCACGCGGCAATCCTCGCTGCCCGTTCCTCGCGATTATCATAGAAATCGTTCCAGTAAATCAAGCAACGGCCTCGGAACCAGTTGCCCTCGCCGCTTTTTCGAGGCTCATCGTGCAATCCTCGCGCGTGTAATACCGTTCAGCTCTAAAATAACTTAGTTTGTCGAAACAAGTTGTAAAAGTGGTGGAATACGTAGGAAAAATATTTTTCGTTCATTGCATAGTCCAATACTTACACTTTAGTAATACGCTTATGTATTAAACTTCGATCCTATATTTTTTATTTAGTGATCTGGTTTTAAAATTATTGAATATAATTTGACATGTAAAATCACTCGATTATGAGACACTTCGAGTTCTCCGCATGCTGATTAGAAAAAAAAACGTGTCGCGCGAATGTATGCACCGTTTAGAACATGAATTGATTTCCGAGTTACGGCGGATCGAAGAAAAGGGGGCTTGAAGTGGCCGGCCATTAGCATGGCTCACTTAAATCCGTTTAGAATCTATTGTGCGCGTGACAGAAATTAATGACGCTCATGACCGGCAAGAAAAGGGGGTAGTGTACGCCGTGGCCGGTGAATTCGAAGTTATTCAAACAGCTCACACGCTCTCTCTCTTTCTCTCTTTCTCCCTCTCCTTCCAGCAAATTGGAGAACCGCCTAATGTACCTACGCGTTGCAGAAAAACGACCGCCTGTCTCTCTCCCTCTCCCCTTTTTTCAATTTCCTGTAATTAAAGATTCGCCTCCGAGATAAACCGCTCTTTAATTACTCCTTGCATTATTCACGATTCACGTGAATTTCGGCTTCGAAATAGATTGAGATCGCGCCCCGATACCGCCTTAGGACTCGCTCGCATAAAACGGGTAACCACGCGAAAGGCTATTTTATCAAGAATAGAAAATATTGTTGACTAATCAAATACATTAGCAATTTCTTTCATGATATTTCTGATAAAATGTATTTACAAAAAAATGTATCGATTTATGAAATTGAACGGGTAATACGATTACAAGGAATTCAATTTGTCCAAATTTTATTTTATTCTGTGTTTTCATACGATTTTCAGTCTGTCAGCTCTGAACGCAGAGTGGATGAACAGTGTCGTATATTCTAATAATCAGCAACGTCGGTCGCGATTATTCACGCTTACCGGCGATTACATAATCGAACGACTATTCACCTGATGCTCCGACCCAATGATTTATCGCCGGTTAATGACTTTCGGTTTCGCATTAATTATAGCAATGCCTCGGTACCTGCCCTCGTCTCAGGTTAATGAATAGAATCGGCGGACTATTCGCGGTGTTGCGCAATCGGGGAACGAACACGCAATGGGACAGTCAAAGTCTTGGCCGATTCGAAACGCGGAAACGGCGCCGGTTGGACGTTTAATTCGCGCGCTGCGCTGTAATGCGTCTTTCTGTAATTACGCGTGTAATTGCGCTCGCGTTAATGGCGGGCTCGCTTGTTACGAAATGGCTGAAAGGTCGTAGGGAAACAATGGTATGATTTATCGTCTTCGAAAAGGCAAAGACAATTCGCACTTTTACCTTGTCTAAAATCGAGGCGAGATACAAATTTTGCACCTGTACGACGAATTAGTTTCACGAAATTCTATGAATTAATAAAAACTAATGAATAGTCAAGGCTTCGCGCGATTCATCACTATAAAAATTGCTTATTATTATAATCTGCTTTGAAAAAAATAATTTGCTTTGAATATGAATAAATCACCCCCTGCTCGGTTGTACCACCCGTCCCGCCACACCCTTTACATTTTAGCAATCATTTCACAAATCGAGGGCTTTATTTATTGCGTATTCGTGAAAATGACCGTTCATCATTTAGTCTCGAGCAAATCAATTTCCACCATTCTGTTACTTCGCGAAGTTCGCGTCTGGTAATCCTGCAAGAAGTTGAAGTCATCGGATAACTTTGTTCCTTTCTAATTGCGTGAACCAATTATTAGCCGAGAAGTTCCCAGGGAACGCGCTTAATTAAACCCAGGAACATTATTTACCTTGTCCTACAAGACTCTACGAAATCTTTACGCAAACTTCGTTCGATTCAAATTGGGCATCAATTATGTCGTATAAATAAATGAATATTTAAATTAGAAAGCATTTGTAGTTGTATTAAGGTATCTTGTATGAATTCCTGCTGAAGAATCGTGTTTTCTGTTTGTTACAGCAAGAAGGAGGCCCGAGCGGACCAACGGGGATCCAACAGTGCGCTGGTTGCGGCGGTCAGATAGTAGAAAGATGGCTGTTACTAGCGATGGATCGGTATTGGCACAACGGATGCCTGAAATGCTCGTACTGCGGCGCAGCGTTGGCGGAAATCGGCCACTCGTGCTACACCAGGAGCGGCATGATCCTCTGCAAGAGCGACTACAGAAGGTAAGGGTGCACTCCATGTATCCATCGAGAGTAGTCCGCCTCTAATGGTACGGACAGTCTTGCGAATCCTTGAAGCGAACTAGAAACCGCGATATTCCACGTGAAGTTAAGAATTTCTATGGCGTAGAACAAAAAACTTTGATAGATTTAAATTAAATAATAATACAGAATCATTGCTATCTTCTTGCTGAAGATGCTTTGATTTCTATGACTAATTTAATCGAATAACGCGGTTAGGCGTAGTTAATATTCGAAAGTTGTAATTACTTGAGTTTCGTGAAACGTTAGGATTTTCTTTCTAAAGGATGACCTGATTATTCAGCTGAAATTTGGTCGCAGCTATCGTCGATTGATCGCGAAACAGGATTACATGGGCACGAACGTCGCGTTTCGGGGTTCATTAAGTCACAGACACGCAATTGCTCGTGCGATTAATTCCACGGCCGGCACGTTCGTATCAGCCAGTTCAATTATTGAGCACAGGTTTATCTCGCGAAGCGAGAAGTCGTTCGGTCTAAGATGTAGAAGTTGGCCAGCACGGCAAAAAGCAGGAACGTTATAATCGTAATCGGGTTAGATAAGTGAGACTTGCTCCGGAGTTAATTGATACGCGAGCGTTTTCACACTGATAAACGTTCGTACACGAGTGAATTGGCCAAGAACGCTTCCGGTGAACATCGATAATCACCGACGCACGTAGACTGGTTGCCGCCAAGTGTCGAGCGTAATCAACATTCCACTGAAGCAAAATAGCTGCAATTTACGAAGCTGTCGCGGTGACACCTGTCCTCGATTGTCACCCAAATCATTTACAATATCTATTCGTCGCCTTTTTTGGATTGCCTCCAATTTACATCCAATTAATGATCTCCATTGTGAATTTGATTTCACAAATTTATATTAATCCATTATGTGAAACATAGGACAGATTCTAGAAGCACGATAATTTTATAGCGAATTGCTCGTATTGAAGTGATTAGAAGCAGCTCAAAATATATCGTTATGGATTTTCGGGAAAAAAATCGAGAGAATGGATGGCGCGTCGCATCGAACACGGCTAATCGGCGGAGACCGTTCCGAATTTAGAATATTCGAGGTCAAAGCGCAATTTAATGAGAAACAGACGCAGAAGTTAGTTGGCATCAACTTAAAATAGATCGGCACAATCTGGCCGGGGCCAACGATGTACACGAAATCTAATGGATTCGTTTCTTTCTTTTTTTATTTCTCGATCCGCTCTCGAAACGACGCCGGCTTTTTTACGCTCGATCAAAATCGGACGATAATTATACGAAATTTTGTTTGTTCTCATTAACGATTCCCACTCGCGCGCGCGACTCGATAAATTCTGGTTAATCCTCATTAAAAGGGATCGTCGGAAATAAATGAATATTTTTAATGTCGCGTTATCTTCATTCGGAAGTTGTACGTTGCACGGATACGCGAATTAATAAATTGGATAAACGTGAAAAGAAAATGACACGCAGTCGAAACGAATTGGCCGACGCGGCCGGGGATGGAAACGAATTAATTAAACGGTCGACAGTGAAGGAAAATACACGTTCGGCTCGACCGGTGTCTCTCGTTATGAAATTTTATACCTCGTTTAATTAATTCCTTTATTACGATCTTCGACTGTCCTCGTTACGTTGCAAAGAATTTAAGAAGCGACGTTTTGTCTCTGGCATAGGTAAAATGTGAACTTGTAGAAAAATTTAACTCAACAATCAGTTCATATTTTCTTTATTCATAATATTGCTTTACAAATTTTTTAATACAATTAATGACATCCAATCGGCGTCTAAGTACAATGCTATAAAATGGAATTAGATACTTTTGTATTGTTTTACGAAACAATGAATTCGTATAAAAAATGTTAATTTCACTGAGATAGGAGCGATTATAAGATTCCCTCGGACCTCGGATACGTATTCTCGGTGGTGATGCTGGTAGATAGTGGTAGTGGTGCTCGTCGAAACGATCGCGACGGACTTGGTCCGTAGTGGCACACGTACAGTCCCCTAATCTGTTAGCACAGTCGAACGATTTAGTCTAGCGTAGTATCAATATTTGATTACGAGGCGTCTCCGTCCCGCATGCCGAAATTGGAGGCCGAGACTCGTCCACCCAGATGTCCAGCTCTGGCTCCGGCTCCTTCGTATTTCCAGAAAGTCGGGCGTCGTTGTCGTTGGGAAATCGATCCCCGCTTTCGGAACCCGAGAAAAACGTCCCCGTTAATTACAACCGGTGTGTTTCTCCTCCTCGACGGATCTGTTTCTACTTGGCGCAGGCGGGGATGTGTATCCGCGTAATCGAAAAATTTAAAAAACGAACCGAGTATATTTTATCTCCGCTCCGAACGAAGTTACGCGACAGTCGGTTTGACTCCGCGAAGATTGGAATCTCGAAATTGAAAGCGTTCCAAGTGATAGGAAAACTGAAGGAATTTAAAAGGATTGGTTCTCGGAATTTAAAAAATTTCTAAAGCTAACTCAGCGAAGTTTCATACGATTTACGAGATGATACAATGATCGATACAGTATGAATTTATTGTAAAGATAATTTTCATATCCATTTCTGTTCATTTAAAACGGCCGACGAGGAGTCGTTACAGCGTTTCATCGTGGTTTTCAAGGATAAGTGGTTCAATTTGTCAGCAGGGATCGCCCAATTTAATATCCCGTTCGGTTCGCTCGTTAGGTCTCCAGGATCCCGCGGTACGGGGTCGTTAAAGACAATCCTTTGACAGGAAGCACTCGCGAGACGATGCAACTACTGCGCTCTGCGTTGCGTTTCCCTTCCCTTCGCGTGAATGTATATGTATACAGAAGAATCAGCCGCGAGAACGCGAAGAGGCTCGTCGAGAAAATTTTCCCGTGAAATTTCGATCGGAAAACAAGCCGCTATCCCGAATTGAGAGAAGTAGCACTCCGAAGCGGAGTGACGCGACAGAAGCATCGACATCAGGCTTGCGGTAGGGGTTGCTACAAGGGGAAACCGAGAAAGAAGCCGAAACAGAGGATGGAAAAGAGGGAGAAAGAGGGTCGAATTGCACATCCGGATAGGATAGAAGGCGGCAGAGACAGAGCCGAGGAGTGAGAAAGAGACGGATATCTCGAACAGAGGGAGAGCCAGCGATCGACCGAGTGAATGGGGAGTAAAGGCAAAAGAGAAGGTTGATCCAGAGACGTGGCGGAGCGAGAGCAAAACAGTGAGAGTGAGATAAAGGGGAGAAGGAGAGACGGACGGAGACACGGTAGAAGAAAAGAGACGGAGAAGAGGGATAGAGGCCGGGGGTAGGAGGTAGTGGTTCGTTTCTTTTGGATTCAAGGAATGTTTCAATCAGTTTGATTGAAGGGCTGAGCCACGGCAAGAGGGTAAACTCGATTTACAGCCGTGCACGAGGGGTATGAGGAGAATGGGAGAGGGAGAGAGAAGGGGGGGACAGAGAGAGAAAGATAGGGGAGTTTAGGTATAGGTATGGGAACGATTCGAGTCGGGACACACGGGGGTACGGAGAGTGGGTGGTAGCCGAGTGGGTGGTAGTTTCGGGAGGAAAGAGAGAGAATGGGCGAGGGTGGCGGGTGCCACAATCACCGAGATGCGTCCAATCACCCCAGCCTCCAACGCCATCGGGTTTCGGGCGCACGGACGAGGGCTGAAGGGATTGAAGGTGTACGGAGGGTGAAGGGACAGGGGTTGCGGAGTGAAGAGAGCGGCCAATCATCGCTCGGCTTTCCGCTGGAGCGACGTCGTCGTGGTGCTGGTTTGGCCTAGATGTGCAATCAGACCGCTTCAGAGCACCTCTCTCCTCTCTTTCTCTGTCTCCCCCTTTCTCTATCCGTCGCTTCGTCCTTCTCTCTCGCCCTACCGTTCATTCTTTCTCGTTCTCCCTTTCGCTTCATCCTTGTCCTCTCTCCTTTTCCCTGTTCACCGTTTTCTCTACGCCTCCACTCTCCGTCTTTCTGGCCGAATACCAAATTCCAGCAATTTGAGTAGGTGGGTACTTTGTTGAATCAACATGATTGGGCTTGACGGAACCTGGCGACAGGACTCTCCTCTTCGCCTGCTGCCCCGTCGATCCCGGTCCGGCCGGCGAACATCGCCGACGCGATTCCTAACCCTTTCGCGGTCCCGGGGACCGGTTTGCAGCTTGTAATTCCATTAAGAGTAGACGCGGTCGAGCAGCGCGGCACTTCGCCGCGTTGTCGCTTTGGGAAAGGGAAACGGGCAAAAAAAGGAACGCGAAAAGTGGACGAACACGGCCAGATCGTAGCTCAGGATGAAACGTCCTACACCGTTCAAGCGTTTTCGCGCGAACCAGCGACCGACTCGATGCACGTTCTTCGAAGTACTCCAAGATGCATTTCGAGACAGTTCGTCACGATGGATTTCATGATGTTCTCTCGTTCTCTGCGACTTACCGCCTGCGAAGAGCGGCGTAATGCCCGTTTCATGGGAACATATTTGCAGAACGAGGAGATGGTAATGGAGACTGGCACGCGACGATGAAGTGGACGAGTTTTCCACATGACAGAAATCGCGATCGACACCGTGGTAATGGCGCCTTATCGTGCCGTTCACACGGCGATGCGAGCCGACGATACAAGGGGACTTGAAGAAAAATACCCAGAAAAACTTCAAGAGTAGGAATTAAAAAATAAGCGACGAAAGATAAGATGATAGAACAGAGGCTGGTGTCGCGAGTGTATAGATTGGATAGATACGGGCTATGTAATAGAGTAAGACGAAGAATATGGTTCACGATTCAGCTAGATGCGGGCTCGGAAAATGTAGAACAAGTACAGCGAGGATCAAAAACATTCAATAACGGAGAATTTTTACACTTGTACATTCGTTTCTGCACGTGCATTCTTCCCACCAATTTACAATTTACACATTCGCTATGTCAATTATCATTTAATGAAACACTTGCAGCTCTTCACGTTCCAATATTTACGGCATACATACGTTTCTTCGACTATTTCCCCTATTTTTAA